CCCAGCGTGCAGCCAGCCGGCCAGCAACCAGCCTGCAGCCAGTCGGCCAGCAATCAGCCAGCCACCCAGCCTGCAGCCACCCAGCGTGCAGCCAGTTGGCCAGCAATCAGCCTGCAGCCAGCCGGCCAGCAATCAGCCTGCAGCCAGTCGGCCAGCAATCAGCCAGCAATCAGCCAGCAACCAGCCAGCCGCAAATTGAAGCAGGAGAAGTCCGCTGGCCTGGATGGCAGCCTGCTGGGCCCCGTAACCCTTCATATATGTGGGCTGCTCTCATCCCTATATGAGATAGGATGTAGCCCAGTAGGTACAACTACCAAACTTCTACCCGCAGATTCAGGGATCGAGCCGGCGATAAGCAGTCTGGGCTAGCTCCTTTTCCTTTGGAGCTGCCCACTGCACCAGCATGAAGCACGGTCATTCTCGGCCGCGAGATCATCAAATCTCACGGCCGGGAACGGACGCCTGGCTGCAGCTTGACCCTTGCGCAAGGATGACACGCATAAATCGACAAATAGTCCAAAATGTCGGTAGGGATTTGAACCCGTGTCTGTACCTCTATGTGCCATAGCAGGCCACGATGGGACGTGACCGTTGGCAAAGCCGACGTAATAAAAAAAAAAATAAAAAAAAAAAAAAGGGAAAACAGTCTTTGCAGACTGTGTGGGAGCACAAAGGTTCCCACTTCGTCTTGGAGACTATGTGGGAGCACAAAGACTCCCACTTCGTTTTGGACAGATGATTGTGGCCGTGAGATCTTGAAATCTCGCGGCCCACAGTTCACACACGAAAAGCAAGAGGGTGTTGGAGTTGAGTGAAGAGTGAGAGAGGGAGAGAAATGGGAGGATGGGGAGAGGAGGACCTGTTCCTCCTGACCTTCCAGCTGCCTCCCCGTTGTTAGGGGGGGTAAGAAGAGAAAAGAAAAGAAAAGAAAAGAAGAAAAAGAAAAGAAAAAGAAAACGAAAAACGGGATCTGAGTTTTTATGAGAAGCTGTATTTTTCAGTTTGCGCCACTATTTTTTTGGTGGTGCAAAACAATTTTGTTGACCTTGATTTTTTTTCTGTAGGTAGTCAGGCACCTAGGCCATGTGCATGAATTTGTTTAGATTTTTTTATTCAGTGAATATGTTTCTAAAATTCTTCAAAGTCGGGGTACTTTTTGCACCCCGCTCTGAGCCTGTCGGGATTTGAACTCGTGAATTTTCACGAGTTCTTTCCCTACCTCTCCCAATCTGACAACTGCCATCGCCGTTTTCAGGGGAGGGCAGGGGAGAAAAGAGAAAAAGAAGATAAAAGGGAAAAGGGAAAAGCCACGACCACGAATGTGGCCGCGGCTATGATCAGATACAGGCCAAACTGACCTGAATGTGACTCAGGCCAGAGGCTGGGGAGATGAAGGGTTAATGAGGGGAACTTGGTTGGAAACAACCATTTTCCCACTGAACCTGCACTTAGTGTGGGGCTGAGTGCAGGGAAAAGGGAGAAAAAGAGGGGGGCAGTTGAGTACAACTGCCACCCTAAGTGTGTGGCTGAGGTGAGACAGCCTCAGTCCGTTGATCTGGCTCAGATCAACGGCCCCAGACAAGTGACGAATTTTGCCTGGGGGCAGCTGAGGCTGCTGCTGCCCTCCTCAGCCACTACAAAAGAGGCAGCTGTCCCCCAGCTGCCTCACACTTGCCTCCGGCTGCCAGTGTGCGACAGCACACTTGCCTCATTGCTGGAGTGGTGGAGAGGAGGCAGGAGTGCTGCCGGCGGAGCTGGAGGACTGCAGAGGAGCGGAGCGACGAAGGAGGAGACAGCCATAGCCTTGGCTGGAGCACTCTGCTCCACCCCTTGGCAGGCTGGTCTCTGGTGGGACTCTGCGACAGCATGGTGAGGAGCGGCAGCGGAGCGTGGCAAGGAGCAGCGGGGAGCACGACAACTGGTGGAGGTGTGCCGACCGATATTTTCGGCAACCATAACCCATTTTTGTGGGGTTATGCTGCCGAAATACCACGGCGTCGGCCCGACACCTTTATTTTGAGGGGTGACGCTGCCGTTTTGAGGGCACGTCGGCAGTACTTTGTTTTGAAGAGTGACGCTGCCATTTTCACGGCATGGCAGTATAACGCGGCGAAGCGCTGCCGTCTTTTTGCGGTAGTACAGCACGGCGAAGCGCCGCCGTCTTTTTGCGGTGGTACGGCACGACGAAGCGCTGCCGTTTTTTTGCGGTGGTACGGCACGGCGAAGCGCTGCCGTCTTTTTGCGTTAGTACGACATGACGAAGCGCTGCCGTCTTTTTGCGGTGGTACAGCATGGCGAGGCGCTGCTGTTTTTTTTTTCTACGGTGGTACGGCACGGCGGAGCACTGGTGTTTTTTTTTTTTTTTTTTTTTTTTTTTTTTTTCTTTTAACAGGGCACAGAGCGACGACGTGATGCCATTTTCCGACGACAGTTCGGCTCGGCAGTGGAAATGCGGCACGACGGTAGGACATGCGGCGCAGCAGTGGAGGTTTTTTTTTACGGCGTTGAAAGTTTTTTTTTGTTTTGGCGCGGCGTCTGCTTTTCTTGGTGAAGGTCTGCTACCATTGGTGTGTACGGCAGCAGTAGCGTGACATGGTGGCGGTTGACGGCATGCGACGATACGAAATTTGAGCGCGACGGGCGGATTTATTTTTTATGCAGCATATGAAATAAATGTTTTGTAGATGGGACTACCCAACACTAGCAATAGTGCGGGACCACTTGGGACCGGCTGGGATCAGTTGGGATCGACGCAGGATGCGGTGGATGTTTTTGGGACGAGTGAGGCTTGCCATCTTCGCACTTGGGACTGCCGCGAGTGAAACTTGCGAGTCGGGAACAGACTGGGACAAACAGTTGGTCCAAGACTTACCTCGGGACTGCGGTTTCTTCGGCGACGCGTATATGTCATTTGGCTTTCTTGAGTGAGCCACGACGCGTTCGACACCACTTCACTCAAGGTCAGTCAGTGGACGACTCAGACTCCCTTCACACCTGTGTGCACCCACACATTGCTTGACACCATTTTGCTTTGAATGTTCAGGAGAAAGGTTGAGTGGGGTTGTGGGCGTCATGTATGAGTGAAAAGGTAGGTCTGACGTGAGTAGTGGGACTTTGTTTGTCTTCTTTTGATCGTGTTGTGTGCGTGGTGTGCAGGCGAGTA